CTTATGAGCAAGCACTTGGTGACAGTGGGAAGGAAGAACTCCCTTTTAACAGGAAGAAACCTCCAGCAGAACCAGGCTCAGGGAGGGGCAGTCATCTGTCACAGCCAGCTCCAAATGTTGTAAAAACTGTGTAACATTAACACTGGTTGAAGGGTGTATCTCCCATCTTTTCTATATTGTACTTGGTTATTATAAATGCTAATTCTGATATATCAGTAAATAGCTAATATCAGCCAATATATGGTCTGACTGACTGTCAGGACTGATTTAAATGACAATTTAATGACATAATCCAAGTTTTTACAAAACAAAATTAACAGGAGCTTAAAGCTGTTCCTAGAAGTCTTTGTTTTTGTTACATACCTGCCACAACAAATGTCAAAAGCTATCAAACTCTCTGCTAGTTAAAGGTAATGCTAGCATCTAGTGTGTCATACTTTAGTTCTACTTGTCATTCCATTTAAATTGCTGACTGAAAAACAACAAATGTTAAGAGACTCTTTTCCCCGAATCCACAACAATGAAGGTACCCTTGAGAAATGCACTTAACCCAGCTAGAGACACAGTATGTTCAGCGACTGAAAGAAGGGATAATGAAAGGCAGCTTTTGGTACTGGGCAGTTCCCAGTGGCTAAACTTAGCAAACTGTGGTTCTACCGGGCAGCTCCCAGGAATGAATGAGCATTACTGTAAAAAATGCAAAGCAGGACATTTTGGAAGAAGCGTGTGCAGACTCAGCAGAAGCAAAAGCTATCGGATCGGTTAGCGAAATCAACAGTCATCAGCTAAAAATGCACCTGGCAGACATGTAGCGGAGACAGAGATTTATTTATGAGAAGGAAGGATGAGTGAAAGGTGAGAAGAGTGAGAAGAGAGTAGTGGGCCTTGATGGGCTAACCCAGGGTCTATTAGAGCCTGATTGGAACCATTAGGAGAGAAAGGCGATACACGAGTCTCGTGCAGAGCCCCTCCGGCCCAGCACTGCATTAACCACAGCCTGCTCTCTACTTTGTTGAACACACGGGCTGATCGATAGCAATGAGGAGGAAGGAGGGGTAGGAGGTGGTGAAGCGAGGAGATGGGAGGAGGGGAGAAACGAGGTCCAGGTTTACGGGAAGATAAGCTGGGATCAATAGAGAGACACGGACTGCTGCGGCGTGGAGAGAGAGGACAGAGGAATGCCAGATGCAGCGGGTTCACACTCATCAAACTTGATGGAGGGGAACCTGCGTGCGAGTGTGTGTAAAAGTGTGTGTGACAGGGCATTTGGGCAAGATTCATCTCTCGCCTGTCTGAATATAACCAATGACCGCGTCATATAAACGTCCAAATAACAAGCACGGCGGGGTCGGCGTGATTGTGCCGAGGCTACCAGCATGGCCTCACAGAAAGAAGGTTTGAATTTTAATCCTGCTTATCAGCTGCGGCTGTCTGCATTTGCATGTCCTTCCTGCGTCCGTTAATTGATTCCAAAATCGCTGCAGGTGTATATGTGTGTTTGAAAGGTTGGACAAGCAGTTACGAAAATAGATGGGTAGATCATAGTTGTGGCTGGCATAAATGAAGGACAAAAGTAAAGTTTGGATAAATAATGAGAAATTTCCTACTAAATTCTGCAGTTGCAATAAAAATGCAGTTGCATATACACTGCAGTTAAACTCAACACTTCTTAAAGAGGCTCTGTATTTTTATTCTTGTACATTTGCAAATTTGTGTTTGCTTTAGACCCTCAGTTATCCTACATCCTGCACCCCTCTGACTGGCTGTCCCTTGCAAACAGAAGGTTTGAATAGCACGTCTAGGCTATCCTCTCTGTGACATAAAACAGAGCCAAAAACAGAAAAAAACTGTCGGAAATCGAATGTTTAGAGCAGTCTGAACTTACCTCACTGTTTAAAATTTTGTCCACATGAGCATCTGCCAGTGTAACAGGACGCATATGACAGAAAAAGAGACAAAGCAAAACGGGTCCACTTCAAAGATTGTTCTCATATTAAAAACCAACAGAGCTGTTCAAAAGCCAACACTCTTTAGGCTAGTGCAAAAGCTTTTAACGTGAAGCTTTGTTGTGAAAAGTGTCGAGATAAAAAAGAAAGTAACATAAAAGCAGAAGCAGTTGGAATTAATTAGTAGTTAGCGTTTTACTTTAAGCTGTGTGTGAAAAAAGACACATTCGCCTTTATATAATGAGGCCGAACCTCCTCATTATATAAAGTGTATTGTATAATATGATGCATCGCTTTGCAGCTGACGGGCGCCATTCTAAGTCATGCTAAGCACGAGTATGTGATTTTTATTAACAGTGGATAAAGCCAGAAGAACCCTTTCCCCATTTCTATGTATTTCTCCTGTGCTAAGTTAATTGGACAGTGGCTTTATTTAGCTTATTGCTCAAAATGTCAAGCTATTCCTTTAACTATCCACTAATGAATTCCAATGCTTTCTATTTTGTTTTCTTTAGTCCCATTAAGGACCTAAGATTTCCTGCAGATCCTTCTCATTAAAAGCATACCAAGAAAGGATTACACGTCTTTACAGTAAATGCTGGAGGGCTATCAATGTGAAACATTTCTGCAGGAAGTGTTGAGTTGGAAATTGGAAAGGATTGGACAAAACAAGCGAATCAAAAGGGGATTTCTGTAAGCAAAGAGAAATGAGTACGACATGACTCTTGCCGTACTGATGGAATTCGTAGGGAGGAAATGTCATTACAGCGAATTTATCGGTGTAACAGTTTAACACAGAAAAGTGCTGAGTCTGCGTTAATTGCAAACAGCATGAGCAGCAAATTAAAGAGGAGGTAGCCGAACGTAGGCCTGTTTTTCGGTAAAGGCCGGCTTTGTTGTATTAAAAAAAATCAGTTCAGTGTTCATTGAATTTATTGTGGTGTCCTACACGTGGCTCAGGGAGCAGGTTTGTGTTGTGGGTGTTTGCATTTAAGCACAACACATTTATCTGTGCATACCCGACACCTGTCAGGCTGGCATGATGTGCATAACCTCTGCCTGCACGTTGCATGCATTTTTCTCCTCTTCCTCCTTCTATCGCTCTTTCAATCTCTCTTCTCCCCTCCTCTGCTACCCCCCTACTCCCCCCAGCTCACTCGGCCTGTGATGGCACGCTGTCAGAGAAAAAGCTATTTATGATCGGCAACCAATATCCTCACAGAGATAAACACACACTGTGAGAGTGATAGGTAGAAAGAGAGGGAGCACCAGAATTATTAGAGAGAACAAGGGATAAGCGAGACGCGACAGTGCAGGAAAGAAACCTGCAGAAGACAAAAAAAAGAAAAGAGGAACGTTGCCCTGGGCTGATTACTCACAGCTTTGTGTTTATGAGTACACATGACCTGGTTGATATCAAGGTATACAAGTGCATATGTGCATGTTTAAACAAGTTCCCTCTTTGGCTAGTGCGTGTCTAAATTCTGGGAAGAGCAAGTTGGGATACAAATTACTTTTTTTATCGGAGGCAATTTACTCGAGTCTGCTGTGCCTCTCACTCGCTCGATCAAGCTGACAACTGATTGTAAATGAGAGAGCCCTTCATCTTACACACATCAGACAAGAGGTGGCCACCCACTGAAACACAAACACACGCACATCCAGTGTTCTATGACAAGGGCACGGGTTTTGCTTTCAGAAGTAAACAGAGCACAGTGAGGTGGTTACAGAAATAACCCTGGGTTCTATGAGTGGAAGAGCAGCCATCTAATGTTCATACCCTGATTACACTGATGATACTCAACTGCAGCACCATAATATGCAAACGAGCCAAAGAGAACTGCTTAGTTATTTAACATGCTTTACAGCTACAATTAGGAAATATTTTTGCTAGGCTACCAACTGCTACTGTTTTTGTCTTGTATGCTAAGATAAGCTAATATATTTCTTTATTAATCCATCACTTTATTCTGAACTAAGAGCCAAAAAAGTGGCCTCATTGTGGTCATCTGAGTCCAATTACTTCAATTGTCCTGTTCCCAGTATATTTACGTTATTGTTTGCTTACTTTCCCTAAAGATGTTCCCAGTGGAGCACACAGCTAAATCTTTTGCCCCATGCCGTCTAACACCCCCAACAAAACTTCCACTAATCAGATGATCATGGCAGCCCGTTTGTAGCCTGAGAAGTGATACCGAAGCGATCATATTAGTATGCGATTGTACCTCTACGATTGTTGTGAGCGCTTTAAAACAACTTTACATTTTAAAAATTGAAACCCAACAAAGATCTGTGAAGTTTCATCAACTTCTCTCATCTGATTTTAAAATGCTGGAACACTCAGATTTCTGAGCAAATCAAACTAAAATTACTAAGGCAGAAATTCCAACCTTGTACTTTGTTGCATTCAGCCTCAGAAGACGGAAATAACGATAAAAGCTATCTTCAGTAAACCTAACCTTTAAAATCTGTGCACAGCTTGTCAGATTCAATCATCCATTTCTCTTTTCTCCTTCTCTTTCTTTTCTCCCTTTGTTTTCCACTTTTCGACTTTCAGATAAATATGGCCGCCTTTCCTTCCACTTGCACATACACAGTCAGGACAAGCTGCAAACGCTACGCGCACACGTACACAGATACACTTTGTTACAGACGTAACCTTCAGTGTCTTTCTTAACAAAATGCTTTGAAATCTGAAATCCAATATCCTGCCTAAATTCAGCTTTTTCTTTCTTTTTTGGTCACCTTTCTTTTTCTCCTCTGTCATACATTTTCTCCATTTTCTTTGTCTCGCTGCAGAATAATTTCTTTCTGGGAGTTCCTGAAAATGGTTGTAATTTCCACGTCCTGTTTTGACAACTGCTACCCTCCCCCCCGCATGGTTTTGCTTTTTCTGCTTATATTCACTTTCTTATTTCTTTTGATTCCTCGCTCATTTTACATGCCCCCCATTCCTCCTCCTGTTCTATTCTCTGATTCATGCTGTCAGTGAGAGATAGAAAAAGATGCCACTGTTTTTCTTCTCCACCCTTTGTTCTGTTTTTACTTTCTTACTTGTTTTTCTTCTCCTCCCTCGCGCGTCCGTGTGCTCTCGTCGTAATCTCTCCTTCAGATGTTTTTTCGCTCTGTCTTGTCTTCGTTGTGAATGTTGACTAGAGACAGACGTCGCACATGAAGGTCACATTGGGCTAAAGGAGAAGAAGAGGAGAGATGTAATGAGTGGCAGTGCTGGATGTTGGGGGTGGATATGTGAGACTGACAGGTCAGCTTTAATCATTTTAATGTCTCTGTCAGACAAGACCTGCTACTGCACATAATTAGAGGTCTCCACACACACACACACACACACACACACACATTCAAAACTGTAAATATACTTCCTACCTGCACATCCACGTACATGAAACATGAAAATCCTGATCAAACAAATATGTGGCACTTGGTGGTTTTTGTGTGTGAAATTTGTGGTTTTGGAAACTGAAGTTTAGGCCTAGTTAGTTACCTACTCTTGAAGACAAGCTAACACAAGCGGAAACAGGCTAGTAAACCACAACAGAGAGCCAGCATGACAATGTAGTACATTTTACACACTATCCTTCGTAACCGTAACTTACTCTGTAACTTCCTGTAAGGGTTTTGTTTTAATCACCAGATTTAGGCTTCAAATATAGGATTTTTAAGACTGATAGTGACAATAATGTGATAACATTAATATTCAAAATATTCAATCTTAGTATATAATATCCAATATTTCTTTTTCTTTCAGACATACACAACACTAATATGTGTATAGTTACTTATTTATTCATTGTTGTGTGACATATGTTGCCACCAGGGAAGTTGCAGACTGCCCCCTGGTGGACAAATTAGGCAACGTTGAAATTCACAACATAGTTGAAGGGTGTTTCTTTGATCTCTTCTGTACTTTTTTAAATGTTTAATTATTTGGCACTTACAAGTGATGATACTGACAAGTCAGCAAGTAACGAAAATGAGCCAATAATATCAGTCCACTGGTAAAATGGTTGGGCTCCACTGGCCACATCCTAAATAGGTAAATTTTCCAAAACAAATAAAGTCTCTTGCAGTTTTCTATTAAGAGATTTTACAAATGAATGTTCCAAACAAGCAAATATGCTACAAAAAGAGGCAGATGCTAAGCATCTCTAACTTTACCTTTACTTTAAGCAGTCATTATCACAAACATACAGGTTTCACATACACAAATAGAAAATGCTGAAAGAGATACAGAGTAATAAATGACTTAACAGAAGCTGAGCCCAGACGTGAGCTCACAACAGCGAGCTTTGCAAGAAACAGAATAAATTTGAGCAGTCTGCTTTACACTGTACCACTGAATGCTCCTTCATATGAACAGTATGAAGTGAGTATGAAGATTAGGCTTGGAGCTAAGTTCCATGCACAGAGATAATTGCTTGACTCAATTTTATTGCAAGGCTTTTCTGGTTTTGATCACAAGATCTTAGACATGAAAAATACAGCCACACACACACACACACACACACACACACACACACACACACACACACACACACACACACACACACACACACACGCGCCCCTGATCCCTCGAGGCTCACATTCACAGGTTCCCATAGTTCATAGTGCAGATCACATAACTGACAACAGCGCCTTCGCCAGTGCGTGCCGGGATTCGTGTGTGTGTGTGAGCAGAAGCTGAGATTCATGTCAACATCAATGGCTCACTAATCACAATGAGGGCGCCAAGGGCCAAGCAGATGCTGTCAGTAGCGTATGGGCCGGCTAGTGTTACAAAGAGGGAGCACACAAAGCCAAGGCCCAAACCTCTGACACCATCATACTTCATTCCCTACTGTCAATAAACTAGAAACTGAAAACTCTGCTACACTCGATGAACACTGTGCTCCACTGTATCGACTTGAAAAGTTCTGATGTTCATCAAACTTTAGTGAACCAAACACACACACACATACAAAAATGAAACTGTGCACAGAACCTTGGCATAACTCCCCCCAAAAGGAAAAAGTCAATCTTTGAGAAACTTCTCAAATTTAAACTTTTTGGCAAATTTATGGGGATATTGTGACAACCTTGAGACTGTTAATTCTCTTATGTAAAAGCAGAACTCTAAAACCTTTCATGACCAAAAAAATCAACCGTGTTGTAATCTTCGTTCAAAGACACTTTTAAAGCTACCCAGTTGATTATTATACGTATAATAAGTAGGACTATCTTCTTAAACCATAAAGATGAATGGAATCCTTCATGTTTTTTTGTTGGCCGGTGAAGATATGAAACCTGCTACTGACATGACTTTGTAAAGGAGGAGAACACCCAAAGACAGGATGAAACTCTTCTGATGGTTTCAAGGAAGTAAAGAAGCAAGTTAGGTAAAAGTCCAAAACTCTGTTTGATGGCAGGTCCTTTAAAATCAAGTTAGGTTGATTGAATGTGCTGGAAAGCAAATTTAGACTTAATCGGAAACCTCATGCCACTGAGTAATCCGCCATATGAGCATTTCTGTGCGTATATGTGTGTCGACTGCTTCTGGTAGAGCATTTAACCCTCTGGTGAGCGCCTCCACCTGGGACTGAACCGACAGCATGTCTGTTGAAACCGTAACAGCAGCAGAATCACTTTAGCTGTTATTGGGGGAAGAAAAAATCTCCAAAATGAAATATAGCATTGCTACTAAGGTCACTGGCTCTGTTACCTACAGAGCAGGATGAATTCAAACCCAAGCACATGTGATTATGTGACAGCACAGCAGCACGCTGTCCATCTCTGGTGTATTTTTCCTAAATAAGTAAGTCATCCAGACCTCAGCTTTCCACTGGCTTCATCCAGGAGAAAGCAGCAGCCAAATCCCTGCAAGTCCACACAGACATAAATGTGCAAAAACATCTACACATTAACTAAAGCACACTCACACACACATATGCACACGTGAGGCCAAAAACTAGGAGGAAGAGGAGTGGAGGAGGAGGTCTGGCTAAATAGCAGGATTTCAAGAACATCTGCACACGCATACACATGGACACACACCTCAAGCCGCTGGCTGCCTGTGTATTTGACAGGCAGCACAGTGAGTGGCTGTGTGGAAGCCAGCCAGCTGCTTGTGAATCAGCAATGACTAACAGTTTACACCTGCACTTTCTGAGCTAATCGCCTGCATGCTTATTGTAAATATACATACACTATGTACTTGTGCACATGTGGGTGGATGTATCGCGTCTGTGTGTGCCAGCACCTGTATCTGTGTTCACGTGTTTGCCTGCATGCCACCACAATGAGTTTTCCCCATCAGGCTCAATTGTGACAGCCTGGGCCTCTAATTGCTTAGCTGCAAATTTGACATTGTCTAAGCTGGCAGCACCCTGATGAGTTGAATAAAAGTGGAGCGACATCGTACCCGTCACTTCCCCCGATCGGCCTCGACAAGAGCACAACTCCGTGCTCCGTTTGATCGCCGCACAAGACAACGCAATGGGATGCTAATCACATGCAAAGGCCAGAGCTTTGAGCGTGTGCCAACGTCTGCCTTGTAAGAGCGCGCGTTCACGTTGGTGTGCCAGTAATGGCAGCTCTAATCAGTGGCAGGATTGGAAGAGGCATGTGGCAATAATGCCCAACAAAATGCCTGCCATTCCCTATTAGATGCAAGCATTCTCCGAAAACCTGGCAGACGAAGGGCGTACACACAAACGCGTGCACGCACATACATATCGGTGTTGGTGGACATCTGGCCAAGGTCAGAGCTAGATCTGAGCTGTGAACGCCTACTGCCAACCCCCTCTATCAGAAAAAAATATCCTTCGGGGGGGAAAAAAAGCTGCAAAGCTTCACACCACAAGCTTTGTCCTCCAGAATGATTTACACATAAACTCTGACCTCTCTAAGTGCAGCCCATTACTTGCGGGTTGTGATTTACAAGCTAAAATTAAAGATGGACGCAATTCGCCGAAGCCATTATCAGCGTCACTACACGGCGGTCAATTCATACAGAGATCTCTCGTGAGAGTCATTCCTCCATACTCAACTGAAGCATTGATTATTCAGAGTACCATAGAAATGACTGATACAGCAGACACTGCATTTATCTTCCCTGTGCTTCGTCCTTTATGTGAAATATTGCGTCTGCTCTGTCTTACTATTCCCGTTACAAGGTTTAACAGACACGTGGCTTTAAAGAGTAATAATGGCATCTTTGCATAGGTGGCTAATGTAGCCTTTTGAATTTGATATCAGTCTTGTAAGATGTATCTTATGGCTATAGAGATTGGTTATAAGCAATTATTAGAAACATTTTGTGGGTTCATAAAGTGTGAAAAATCCCTTTAGCTGGATCACGATGCCACTTACATTTAGGTAAAGGTCATCAGAGACGAATACTTAATGGATTCCTAATGCTTTCAAAATACCAGGTAATCATAGTGTCTCAATGAAGCGACGACCTGGAGGGCTAAAAAATTAAGCCTATGTGGAGCTGCAGTTCCACTTAAGGCTGGTGGCGAAAACGAGTCAGTCCCCACAGATTCCCTTATTAAAATGCTCGATTTTACAGCAACAAAAGGCACATTTAAAGCCTTGTCTCCATGGTCACAACAACTCTTCGGTGAGTAATTTTAGCATATAATAACTCGCCCATTTGGATTTTGCTGAGGTTTAAAAATTAGGGTCATGGTCGCTTTGACTGATAGGACTACCAAGGCCTCACTTCCTGTACTTTGACTTACTGATCTGGACTTTTTGACTGTATTTGACTGTGTTGTTGGGGCCTTTTGGGGGAATTGCTTTGTGGTACAGCGGATATCCAAGATGTTGAAATATATTTCTGCTCTTAGCACTGATTACGCAAGCTCCAGTGGCGCAATCGGTCAGCGCGCGGTACTTATAAGCCAGTAACCTGGAGAGAGATGCTGAGGTTGTGAGTTCGAGCCTCACCTGGAGCACAGGCTTATTTTAGGGGCAGGAATAGCTCAGTAGGTAGAATGGTGGCCCCATGATCGGAGGGTCGGGGGTCTGAATCCACTCAACACCTACCCTGAGGTACCCCTCAGCAAGATACCGCCCCTACACACTGCTGCCCACTGCTTCACACCGTTTCTGTAAGTTGGCTACCATGTAATTCAATCATAGTTCATTTATATAGCTGCAAATGACAATGACAGTGCCAAATATTTTA